CAATGGGAGCACACCACCACGGCCTTGCAGTCAGGCTGCTAGAGACATCAGCTCATGTCAGCACACAGCACAAGCGTACCTCCTGGGATGTCCTTCATGTCCCATGCCTTGTCCAAATACACCATGGCCTTGCGGTATCGCCGGAATGCCATGCGGTAGTCACCATTCTGCCCAGGGGGCGGATGTGAGGGAAGTCAATGTGTGCGAGAGAGCTTCAGATTCTGCTTTGAAAGGCCTGACCACCTGCGTCGCCCCAGAATATTAAGCCCCTCATCAGAAATCACGCCGCATCCTTTCCACACCTGAAACGGATGACCAGTCGCTTACCTTGCCTTCAAGTGCTCCGGCTCTCACCTTGGAACGCTCCGGCTCTCACCTTGAAGTGCGTGGTGCCAAGGTCCTTAATTGATTTGACTGCTTCCACCCACCACTGCCACTCCGTGGGTCTCTCATCCAAGTCACTGGGCCAGTCGGGGTATTTGTCTCCATCCTGCCATGTGCACACCGATGGACAGACACAGGAAAAAGGGGCTGCTGGTACTGAGTACAAGGGCACGGGGGAAACGAGGCACCCCACCAACTTGCCGTGCCTGCAGATTGATCCTCACATTGCATCACAGAGCCTGCCGTATCCTTCCACCTCCCCCCTTCTCTCTCAGTTCCCACTTACAGGGTGGTTCATGGTGCCGTCGTCCTCCCCCTCTGCCAGCTCGCCGCAGTCGTCGATAACAACATCGCTCAACGGACGATCTGAACCGTCCGTAGGTGTGATCTCCACCGCTCGAAGCACCTGATTGATCAAATAGAAAAGAGCGGAGATAAGCGGACTAGCTCGCTTTCTAGTTCATAGCGAAGAGGCAATCACAATGATTTTCGTGCAGTTCTGACTGCGGATGTCTTTGCATTCGTGCAACTAACACAACCAACCACTGGCAAGCGTGCAGTGGTTCGAATTCAGTCTCTGTCATTCTCCAGCCTGCCCTCCTGCTTGTATGGCCGTTTGATCCAGATCGAAGTGCTTCCGATGAAACTTCACGTGAAGTCAAAGTTGACTTCACTCTGAAAGAGGTCAGGTAAACCTGAAAGCATCTTTGTCCATACCCTTCACAAACAAATATCACTCTGAACCTTGTTCCTCACCTGTCCTCCTCTCAGCACCCTGCCAAACACGCAGTGCTTGCCATCGAGATGCGGCGTGGGCCCATATGTGACAAAGAACTGACTGCCGTTCGTGCCAGGCCCGCTGTTCGCCATGGATAGAATCCCACGCTTATCATGCTGCGGTGGAGTGCGGTCAGGATGGGAAAGGTGTGGGTTTGCTTAGCTCATTGATAAGAAGCGGCGCCTTATCAGGAAATGGAATGATGATGAAGGATGGATGGAGTGAAAAGCTGAATTTCGAGCCAGCTCGTTGATATGATTCAACCACCGCCTCTAAGTTGATGCTTTAAGCATAAGTGCTTTTGGAACCAAAGCCAGAAGAAAAACTCATGGTGACTGAAGATGATCATCCTTCCAAAGAATTGAAAGAGCTGTCTTTTGAGTCGACTCAGAAGAAAAACTAATGGTGACTGAAGATGATCATCCTTCCGAAGAATTGAAAGCATCATACCTTGAGCGCAAGACCCCCAGGCTCGTCCTCGAACTTCTCCCCGTAAATTGATTCGCCTCCTGTGCCGTTCTTGTTGGAAAAGTCCCCCCCTTGCATCATGAAACCCTTGATGACTCGATGGAAGGGGCAGCCCTGGAATTGTTTCAAACGGGAGAGGTAGAGGAGAGAGGAGAGAGGAGAGAGGTGAGAGGGGAGAGGGGGAGAAGAAGCGTATAATGGCGGGCCACTCGAGTGCAATGAGACGCTATAACGCCATTGTCATAAATCCAGAGTTACTCATAACGTGCAGTGGAATATCACGCTAATTGTTACAAATCTATCGATGGATGAGAGACCTTCACGTATTGAAATGAAACGGATCAAAGCAGTTTTTGTGAAATTCGGAGAACAATGAATCATAGTGGAGGCCAAGGCTCGCCTTGAAATGAAGCGGCAAGCCGGTGCTTGCGCCAATCCCCTTCTCCCCCGTGCAAAGCGCGCGGAAATTCTCCACCGTCTTGGGCGCGGCGTCTTTGAAGAGCTCCATCACCACGCGACCCTCCGGCTCTCCCGCGATCGACACGTCGAAGTACACGCGCGGATTCGCCATGGTCACAGGATCGGAACGGAACGAGACGCACAGACGATCGACGAGTTCTAGTTGATGATTAGTAATTAACCACCTCGCAGATCTAGTAGTTAAACGGAGGTGGTAAGACTAAGGATAACCAGCGATCAGAGAATGTTGGGGGAGTTGAAAGTACCGTCGTTTCTGATCATCAGCCACACATGTTTCTGGAATTCTGGCTGCTCAGTTCCGTTCCATACCCTGTAAATTTAGCGGGAAATGGTTTGACTATGGATTTTGGCTGTTGGAGATTCGAGAAGCTTCACCGCGACGCTTCTGAGCGTCAACAAATGCTGAAGCGAAGAGATGTCCGACGTTGTAACCATCACACTGAACTTCGTCCTCCAGTAAAAACAATTTCTGGCGATCCCAGCGACCTCGAACTTAGTCAATCCGATCTGAGAAGCTTTCATAGGGTGATCAGGTTCAGTAGCTGTTTGCGCGGCGATTTTAGGAGCTTTGTACGAAGATAGATGACCCCTCATTAGTTAGTCTCAGCACGTGGCTGTAGCGAATCCTGCTTCGGGTTTTGTGGAAGATGGTATCACGATTCAGCGCCTCCGTCCGCACCACTTTAGAACCACCCGTTTTGTTCAATTCGATACACACTACAGCTCGCACAGTCGTCAGAACCGCTTCTCACCGCATAGCGCTGTGCGATCGCGAATCAAACGCACCATTGCATCATCTCCCGGCCATACGCGCCTTTACACCTGTTACAGTCACGCCAGTCACAGTCGCACCAGCACATACTGGCCTCTCGTATCAGACAGAAACCCTGTCAGTACGTTGCCGTGCATCACAGTCGATAAGGGCATTCACCGGGTCGCAACGGTCAAGTTCAATTATCAGAGAAAATCAGCACGCAATGGCGGGTTCCAGGCCAGCAGCTGGGTCTTCTATGGGGTTTTTGAGCCATGATGGCCAAGACAAGGAAGCTCGTGGCAAGGAAACAGATGACAGACAAGCGGATGAGCCGGAGGTGACCTTCTACACGCACGGCCTGTGTCCGTACGCGCAGCGAGTGGCGATCACGCTGGAGGCCAAGGGTACGAGCCACGCCCTTCTGACATTCCTGTTTCTCTGTCTTCCAACGGCGTTCGTTCCGACATTGTGACTGCTCCTGCTGTCCGTTACTCAGGTGCCCGGGAAAATGTCTGCTTTGGCGCCTGAAACATGTGATTGTTTTTCTGTTCTGATCTGAACCAGGCATGGATTACAAGAGCGTTCACATAGACCTCTCCAACAAGCCTTCATGGTACTTGCTTACACACAACCCCTCATTGCTGTTCGCTTCACTCTCCTGCTGCCTTTTACCCCTCTCAATCGTCTCATATTTTCCTTCCAACGTCCACGGGCACTATGGACACATGCAGGTACTTTTCGGTGAATCCGCGTGGTCTGGTGCCAGCTGCGGATGTGAGCGGCCAAGTGGTCACAGAGAGCATTGACATCTGCAGGTTTCTGGACGAGCGCTATCCCAAAGTGCCTCTGGTGCCATCAGAGGCGCAGAGCAGCAGAGCCATGGACCGCCTTGTCAGCAAGGCCGACTCTATCATTCATGCTGTGAGTCTGTTTAATACATTTTGGATCTAAGGTACAAGCAAGCACGTCGTTACTCTCACTCCCAGCTGCGTTCAGCTTCCTTATTTCCGCCTCTTGCAATTGCCTCTGCCTCGACTTTACAGCCATTCTCCAACCTGTCATTTTCTGCAGTCACCGGCCCCCACATACACAAGCCCATTCACAAAGCACCAGCACCAGGCATGCCCCTACCAATCTCTCCAGGGCCCTCCCTCCCTTCCCTGTCCCAGGGCCTTGCAATGGTGGCAGGGTCTGAGCGCCTGTGAGCTACTGACACCAAATAACCCTCCCCCCCCCTTCTCCACCCCCCTTTCCCCCTCCCTCTCCACCCCCAGCAATGGTTGCTGGGTCTGAGCGGTTGTGAGCTATTGACACCAACTAACCTCCCCCCCCCCTTCTCCACCCCCCTTTCCACACCTCCAGGGCCTAGCAATGGTGGCAGGGTCTGAGCGCTTGTGGGCCATTGACACCAAGAGGGGCAGCAGAGGAGGGGGGAATGCGAGGGTACAAGGAGAGTGGATCAAAGCTCTAGACTCACTGCAAGAGGCTGTGCGCCAATCACAGGGGCCATTCTTGACGGGTGCAGACCTCTCTCTGGTACGTGACATGATACTGCTTTGAATGGGGTTGTATGGTTGGCTGCTTCTCATTCTCGCATTACAAAGAAGCACCTGCGTGTAAAACATGTTGATATGTGTTGTCTCGCCCAGCCTGGGCACACCTGCACCTGTCTCCACTCTGTCTCCACTCTACTTGACTCCACTCCACTTGACTCCACCTGTTTCCACTTCACCCATATATCATGGCAGGCTGATGTGGTGCTCTTCCCCTTCCTCGCTCGCTTCCAGCTAGTGGCAGAGGGAATACGAGGCGAACCCTTCTCTCCTGACCACCCACTCGTCACCCAATGGATGGCCGCCATGTGGCAGCAGCCATCTGCCAGGCGCACGTTTCCTGACAGGGACCGGTTCCTGCTGGCGCTGAAGCAGTATGCCAGCCTTGATTACTTTGATTTCCACTCCACTTCACTGGAAGACCCAGTTCCCAAGTACTGGGTGTAGGGCGACACTGTAGGGTGAAGTTCCAAGCAAGTATTAGTCACTGCTATCAGCGGTACGGTTAGGTGCTGCCAAAATCGGTATTTATGGGACAATATTCCTGCTGGAAGCTGGTTGGGTTCATGTAGGAAGTACGGAACTAGTCATCCTTGGCCCTGCCGCCTACGTGATTGATCTTCTGTGCATTGTACATTTGAGCAACCTGTTGGGATGGGGCACAGACACATAACACGAGACACACAGCTCCATGTAACCTCCTTGCATTCAAAGCGCCTAAGAAACAGGCCAGCACACACTTGCAGCGCACAGGGAGCTTCAATTCGAAGTGCTCATCTCTTGTGCATCTCTCAGCCATGCTAGACAGCCTGAGGTGACGAACCTACCTGCTTGCTAGCTGTAGAGTGCTCCTGAGTCCTGACTGTGCTTCCCATGCTGTCGCCTCCTCTCACCTTGGCATCTGAAATAGCTCAACAGAATCCCCCAACACAACCCACCCACCCGTCCTGTAATGCCAGCCTGTCCATTAGAAGTGAACATCCACTCGTCCTCCGCCTTTCAACCACCTTCCCCCCCCCCCCCCCCCCTTCCCCCTCGCTCACCTTTTCACTGGAAGTAGCCTGCTCTACACTCCTATCGGCATGCAGCTACAGGAACCAGGGAAACTGCAGGGAGTACAACCTCGTTCCCTCCTCAGCCCAACCCCAAGATCCCCTCTCTCTGGTGCTCACCAGTTTGCTGGAAGTAGCTTGTTCTGCACTCCTATCATCTCGCAACCGAAACTTTCATCCCCCCTCCCTTCCCCCCTCCGCCACCCTTTTCCCCTTGTGCTCACCTGTTCGCTGGAAGTAGCCTGCTCAGCGCTCTTGTCATCTCCCAGCCATACTAGTTTCCCCCACTCCTCAAACCCCCCTCAAACCCCGTCTCTACCCCCCCATCCCCAAGCTCACCTGTTCGCTGGAAGTGGCCTGCTCCGCGCTCTTATCATCTCGCAGCCTCAGGAACCGGGGGAAGCGCAGAGCGATTCCTTTCGTCTCATTCACGTGCCCGGTTGCCGCCCGGTGCACGGGACTAATGGACAAATCCGCCGCCCGCACCTCCCACACCTCTGACGGCTCGAACCACACTTCCACTCCTAGCGTCTCCCCATACCGATAGTAGGGCTGGGTGTGGGGGGGAGAGAACGGGTTTGGAGTAAGAAAGGGAAGCAGTGGGGGATACACAAACACCACAATATGCCACTCAGACTGCATTGAGTGAGAAAGGTGTTGCAATGATGGGCACGGTACTGCACCACACCACACAACACCCCATCCCACCACTTCCAACCACACCCGACACCATGCCACCCCACCATACCCCACACCGCCCCACCCCACCACTGCACTCACAGGCGGCTTGTCAATGACTCGCTTGCGCAGCGATGCGGATCGCTCCTCCAGCGCTGCTTCGGAGAAGCCGGTGCCGATCTTGCAGATGGACTGGTACTCCTCCGTGTCAGGGTCGTAGCACGCCAGGAGGAACGCCCCGAAGACACCTGTTGAGGAGGACATGATAGATGTTGTTACACAAGGGAACTGGATCTGAATGTCGCCTTGCAGATGGACTGGTACTCCTCCGTGTCGGGGTCGTAGCACGCCAGGAGGAAGACTCCCAACACACCTGTTGAATCAAATGCAATCACGGCAGAAATAGCACGACTTCCAAGGGTTTTTTGCACATTAACATACGGCTTTGCTGTGAGACAGAGACAAAGGGGTTGCACAGAGAAACCGTTGTTCCAGCCCCAAGAGCAGTGGATTTCGTTCAGCAGCAAGCCTTTCAGGCCCAACCCTCCATCATCCCAATGTGTCACCTGCAAAGTTGCAAACCCATCCCATGACCCAGTGTCCTATGCTACTCTCCACCCCTCCCCTCACCTGTTCGCTTGCCACGGCCATGGAACGCCCCGATTGGCACAAGGTCCAAGGAGTCGCCCAGCCTGATTGGGAGGCAGCAGAGGCATGACGGGGGGGGGGGGGGGGGGCGGGGAGCAGGGTGAAACGGGAGTGAGGGTAGTGGGGGATCATGAGGCACCTCGTGGAACGCCCCGATGAGCACAAGGTCCAAGGAGTCGCCCAGCCTGATTGGGAGGGAGTTTGGGAGAAGAGAGAACAGAGTGAAGAGATTGAGGGAGCAGAGAGAACAGAGTGACGAGAGTGAGGGAGACGAGAGAACAGAGTGACGAGAGTGAGGGAGACGAGAGAACAGAGTGACGAGAGTGAGGGCGACGAGAGAACAGAGTGACGAGAGTGAGGGAGACGAGAGAACAGAGTGACGAGAGTGAGGGCGACGAGAGAACAGAGTGACGAGAGTGAGGGAGACCAGAGAACAGAGTGAAGAGAGTGAGGGAGCAGAGAGAAAAGAGTGAAGAGAGTGAGGGAGCAGAGAGAACAGAGTGAAGAGAGTGAGGGAGCAGAGAGAACAGAGTGAAGAGAGTGAGGGACCAGAGAGAACAGAGTGAACAGAGTGAGGGAGCAGAGAGAACAGAGTGAAGAGAGTGAGGGAACAGAGAGAACAGAGTGAAGAGAGTGAGGGAGCAGAGAGAACAGAGTGAACAGAGTGAGGGAGAAGGGCGAGCGTGAAAACAGAGTGAGGGAGAAGAGTCAGTGTGAGAACGGAAGGGTGAAGAGTGAGGGTGAGAACGGAGCGAGGAAGAAGAGTCAGAGTGAGGGTGAGAACGGAGCGAGGAAGAGGGTCAGAGTGAGGGTGAGAACGGAGCGAGGAAGAAGAGTCAGAGAGAGAAGAGTCACAATCTAGCCAGGCCCCACCCTTCCACGTAGTCCTTTCTTGAGCAACACGCATCCTCATCCTCAGCACTGGGAGACCCACCCCAACCGTCCTTTGCTCCTGCCCTGCCCCATCCCCCCCTTCCATCAATCAAGTCCTTCTTGATCTCGAGCCAGTCTTTGCTCCTCTTGGCCGGCTCATACGTCAACCAAGCACCACACACAAGCACTCACAGTCCTACCCACCGCACCACCACACGCACGACCCATCCCCACCACACCACCACACGCACGACCCATCCCCACCACACCACCACACGCACGACCCATCCCCACCACACCACCACACACACGACCCATCCCCACCGCACCCTTCCATGTAGTCCTTCTTGAGCTTGAGCCAGTTGTTGCTCCTCTTGGCCGGCTCGTATGTGGCATCCACGTCCAGGGTCTTCACCATGGCGCCCTCGCAGCTGCCACAGGGGAAGAGAAAGGGGAGCAGGAAGGGGGAGGGGGAGGTAAGCGGCACGGAGACAAGTCACCATGCACAAGGAGGAACAGCTCGTATGGAAGCAGGGGAAAGCGGGAAGAGGAAAAAGGGAGAAGAAGGGGAAAGGGAGGTGGGGGAGGAAGGGAGTGGAATGAAAATTATGGCCTGCAAAATCGAGGGTACAAGCTCAGCTCAGCTGCCTCCACAACCAGCGGCTTCACTGTCCCGCCCTCTCCCCTTTAAACCCCTCTAATCCCAGCAGCACCCCACCTGTGGTTGACAGCGTCGTCAAAGAACGCCTGCAGCTCCTCCTCCTTGCTGGTCGTGATGGCCGTCGCGAACTGGAACTCGCCCTTGGCCGCCTCAAACGACTCCAGCAGCAGCTGCAGGGGGGGAGAGAAGCGAGGAGACGTCACGAGTACAGGAGAACACGGAGAGCAGGCTTCATTCAAGGGCTTCAAACGACCTTGCTCAAGTCAAACGAAACTGAGACTCGCCCTTGACCGGCTCAAACGACTCCAGCAGCAGCTGAAGCAACACGGCGAAGGAAGGAAGGGTGAGTCAGGAGAGGAGCACGATCTTTGTTCCATTGGCCTGGAGTTTTCTTCAGATTCTCTCAAAACTCGCTCACAAAGGCCTCGAGTGCCGTGTTGTTGCAATGCCTCAAGTAGTGAGAGAACGCCGTGGTAACAGTAACGGACCCAAACGAAACAAAAGCAGCAATCCTGGACTACCCTGCCCTGCCATGTCGTGCCTCACCTCTCTCCGCCGCACGAGCTTCTCTGTGAGCAGCTGCTGGCGAGATGACTTTTGAGTCGACTCAAAAGTCATCCTGTCCTGCCGTGCCTCACCTCTCTGTGGTGCCTCACCTCTCTGCCGTGCCTCACCTCTCTGCCGTGCCTCACCTCTCTCCGCCGCACGAGCTTCTCTGTGAGCAGCTGCTGGCCGTTGAGGTAGAGCAGATCGAATGCGAACATGCACACCTGGTGTGGGAGAAGATGGGGAGGGGGAGAAGAAGAGGAGGACTGAGATGCCTCAGAAATGCCTCTTTAGCTGGTCATCGTTGAGGTAGAGCAGATCAAATGCGAACATGCACACCTGGTGTGGGAGAAGATGGGGAGGGGAAGAGGGGAGGGAGCAGAGTGAGTGCGGCCAAGAACAGAAAGATCATTTGAGCAGGTATAATCGGAGCACACACACACACACACACACACACACACACACACACACACACACACACACACACACACACACACATCGCACCCACCCACCTGCACTTTAATGTCGCTCATGATGACGCCCTTCCGCGCCCGCGTGCTTAGCACCTGGAAGGGCAGAATCTTGTCGCTCTCCCTGTCGTACGCCACTGCTTCTGCATCCAATACAAACGTCTGCACGTGACTTTTCTTGTGCCTGCAAGTAAGGAAGAGGGGAAACAGAGGAGAACTAAGCAACCGGAACGGCAGAATCTTGTCTCTCCTCCTGTCATACGCCACTGCCCTCTGCATCCAACATAAACGTGGGCCTTCTTGTGCCTGCACATGGGGGAGAGGGGAATTCGGGGAGAGCGAATTTCGGGTTCTGAGACGTGAGCACCTGGAAGGGCAGGATCTTGTCGCTCTCCCTGTCATGTGCCACTGCCTCCGCATCCAACACAAATGTCTTAACGTGGTCTTTCTTGTGCCTGCGAGTGCAGGAATGCGAGGTGACTGGTCTATCCCTGTTGTGTGCCACTGCCTCTGCACCCAGCTTCTGCCTCTGCCAAACTTGTGCACATGGGCCTTCTTGTGCCTGCGAGTGCGGGAATGCGAGGTGACTGGGCTATCCCTGTTGTATGCCACTGCCTCTGCACCCAGCACAAACTTGTGCACATGGGCCTTCTTGTGCCTGCGAGTGTGGGAGGGGCCGTGGGGAGGAAGGGGCTTGGTGAAGGGGAGGGTTTTGAGACGCCTCTATACTGCGTCCAGCACAAACATCTCCACTTGGGCCTTGTTGTGCCTGTGAGTTAGGGAGCAAGTGCGGGGCGAGTTTCCAGTCAACTCAAGAGTCACTGCGACTCCCTGCCGTACACCACAGCCACCCTGTCGCTCTCCCTGTCGTACACCACTGCCTCTACATCCAGCACAAAGGTCTTCACGTAAACCTTCTTGCGCATGCCAGTAAGGGAGAGGGGAAACGGGGGAGAAGAGGGGTTTGAGACGTGATCACCTGCACGAGAGGGCGATTAGTTAACCTTCTTGGAACCTCTTAACACCCAACTGATTACGAGCTGTACCGTTTCTTTCGTGCTCCGACAGAGAAAGAAAAACACACAAACACACACACACACACACACGCACACACACACACACACACGCACACACACGCACGCACACACACGCACACACACACACCCTTACTGACTGCGTGCTTGACCGACTTACTTCTGAACAGCCTGTACGAGGTCGGGGAACTTGCCAGTGGTGCACTCCGCATTGCGGCTGTAGATCTGCACTGTGCCGTCCGCTAGCCCATGCACCTGCCAGGGACGTGGGGCATGAGAGCATTGATGTTGGTTGGCATGGGCTGGGCTGGGCCATGGGGGTGACGTTCGCATCGGGCATGGGTGGGCGGCAAGGGAGATGGAAATTTGTATGAGACCCCTCCCATCCAGATTTGACTACCATGAGAACAGGACCCCAGCAGCTCACTCTCACCTGTGGTGACTTTTGAGTCGACTCAAAAGTTACCATGAGAACAGGACCCAGCAGCTCACTCTCACCTGTGTTCTCACTCTCACCTGTGTTCTCACTCTCACCTGTGTTCTCACTCTCACCTGTCACTCTCACCTGTGTTCTCACTCTCACCTGTGTTCTCACTCTCACCTGTGTTCTCACTCTCACCTGTGTGCTCACTCTCACCTGTGTTCTCACTCTCACCTGTGTTCTCACTCTCACCTGTGTGCTCACTCTCACCTGTGTTCTCACTCTCACCTGTGTGCTCACTCTCACCTGTGTTCTCACTCCATCCTACTCCAACTCGCATGTGAACGTAAGCGCCTGCAGCTAGTCCAATATCTCCAATACGCCCCTGGAGCCCCCTCTTCACATCTTTACTAGAATTCCACGCGCCTAAACGCACCGTCCTCGTGTCTCACGTTCACTCACCTGTGTGCGCTCCCCATCGTACTTATACTCGCACGTGAACGTCAGCCCCTGCAGCTTGTCCAGAATCTCCGATATCCCCCGTGTGGGCTTCGCCAGCATGGGCCCCACCGGCACTCCCAAGGTGAACTGACACGCCTCGGGAACGGCCCATATGCCGTCTCTTAATAGGGATGGAACAACTTGGTCGTAAACTGGGAGGACTGAGTACGCATGCTTCATGATGCGCACTGCCTGGGGGTCGGGGGAAAGGGCAGGGATGAGTGGGGGATGGGGGAATCGGGAGTAAAGTGGGAGATTGGGGAATGGGGCGGTCGGGGGGAGTGCGGGATGTGTGGGTTGAGCGGGCCAGCATGGGCCCCATCGGCACTCCCAAGGTGAACTGGCACGGCTAACTGACACTCACCTCTTCTAGTCTTCCCGGCAGTCGAGCCAGTTTTTTCCCTCTTTGAAAGCACCTTTCCTCCTTGACTCTCCTTCCCCGGCCATTTTTCCTCAACCTCTCCCTCCGTCCCCCCATCCCCTCCTCTCCCAATTGCCGCAGCAGCCCCATCCCCACCCTCCTTATTGCCCCCATCCTTATCGTCACCACCCGCACCACCACCACCAGCACCAGCAGCACCAGCAGCAGCAGCGGCAGCATCACCAGCAGCAACACCGGTGCCCTCTCGGAAGTCCTCGTGCATGACAGCAGCCTGAGCCAGGGCGGCGAGCACCGTCTGTTCTGCGAGGCCGATGCGCATCTTGCCCTGCAGCAGGCGCACTATGAACTGTGGCTCCTGCTGCCGCGCCGACACCAGCAGCTGCTTTATCCGCGCCCGCTTCTTCTCCACACTCTGACTGCCTGACTCCTGAGGGAGGGAAGTTAGGGGGTGGTAGAGGCAGGGAAGGCAGCGCACACAGACACGGTCACACAGAAGGAGACGTATGGGCCGGAGGCGTTGGGGGAATGCGGGGGTGATAAACCGTAAGGTTCACTCACCACGAGTAGCCAGATTTACTCACCTTGGCGATGAATCGGAAGGCTTCAAAGACCTTGTGGCACGTGAGTGGCGCCGGCTGCATCATCATGCGCTGCGTGGTGCGGCTGGCCTTCGCCACCAGCCCCAGGTCGCCACACTCCTGCAGAAACAAGTAGGATGAAAAAAAAAAAAAAAAAAACCTAGGGATTGAAAATCTCCGACTACAAGGCTCAAAGGTTTGAATGTCAAGGTACACAGGGAGCTGTGACATCTCGAAAGTTCCGTTACGTATTAAGGATAAAGCCATGTAAGAGGCATGACGGCAATGTGGCTGCACTACTGTGACACAACCATGCTTCTATCCATGAACCAGCACATTTCTTACAGTCCCTCTCTCCACCCCCTTGCACCACAGTTCATTCATTCCCATCTCACATAACGTCTACGCCCGATTCCACCACCACCTCTTACCTCTTCACGGCCTCAGCCAGAGAGCACGTACGATCTCTGGCCTCTTGCTTGCATCACATTTCACGCAGTCCCGTCTCACTTTCCTTATGCTCCGACTTAACCACTGCCTCTTTCCTCCCCGTCACCTCGGCCAGAGCGCAACAAACAGTGGCGTCACCAGTTCATTCGTTCTCATCGTACCAACCTTGCACTCTGATTTCACCACCGCCTCTTTCCTTCTAATCACCTCAGCCAGAGCATGGCATGGATGATAGTCACATCGCCGAACCCCTCCATAAATCTGAGACGCTTTTGAGAATTCTCAAAAGCCCGAACGCCTCCCCCGGCTCTTGCTTGCATCATACTTCATTCATTCAATCCCAACTCACGTACCTTAGGGCGTGGAAGATCCCTACGAACATGTGTTTGGTTGCTCCTGTGGTCCAACATGTGTTTGGTTGCTCCTGTGGTCGAACATGTGTTTGGTTGCTCCTGAGGTCGAACATCTCGCCTTGTCAATGGCTTGCGACATCTTTTGCCGGGTAACACAGGAAACCCCACATTGCAAATCAGAGAGGCTTTAACGTTTCGGAAGGGGCCTTGGTCGCTCTCAAGCGAATAGCTCTGAGTTTGTCAATCACTCGGAGCAAATTGGATTGCACCACATCACCCACGACAACACCTGGTTTCATGTCGCGTGATTCTTCTTACGTCGCCAATCTTGTCTTTTCCTCGTGGACCCAAAAACGTGGGGCAACAAGGGGGCACGGGCTCTGAAACGCTTTTGAGTCGACTCAAAAGTAAAAACGTGGGGCAACAAGGGGGCACGGGCTCTGAAACGTGAGTGCTTGTAGCAATTTTCGTCATTCTATTAGCGATGCTTATTGGCGAGAGTCGCAACCTGTGTTACTGTCGCAACTGCGCGACCAATGCCTTGTTCACAGGGATCTTCCACGCTCTTATACTTCGACTTAACCACCGCCTCCTTCCTCCCAGTCGCCTTAGCCAGAGCACGGATGATGGTCACATCGCCAACCCCCAGCCCCTTGTAGCACAACAGTTTGGCTGTTCTCATCGTACCTTCCTTTTACTCTGGATTTGATCGCGTACCTTGTACTCCGACTTAACCACCGCCTCCTTCCTCCCGGTCGCCTCAGCCAGAGCGCGGATGATGGTCGCATCGCCAATCCCCAGCTCCACGCCCTCGTGAGGTGGCGCAACGCGATTGGCCGCCAGGTACACGATGGGCAGCAGGTCGTCTGGTGACGTGGCCATGACTGTGCGGACACGTTGCACATGATCTCCGTGATCGCCAACCGTCCAGATTCGTTGGATATTCCTGGCACACACGCAGGCAGGTTGGAGGTGTATTGTTGTAGAATCACAAAATACGCTGATTACTGTGCAGAGCATGTTGCACACCATGTCCAGATTCGTTGAATAATCCTCGTAATTCGTACATACAGCGGCGGATAGAGGAGCATGGAAGTCGACAGGTGAGTCAAGAAAAGAGGCTCAACCCACCACGCTAAACCTATAGCCTTTCTGTCCTCACACCATTTCAACCCAAAACCCATACCCTGATTTCCACAACAATGTATGACCCATCACCCTCATTGTTCACCGTGCATAGACTCTACACTTACGTGCCCACAGCCCAGCACGCACAGCCCACCACGCACAGCCCACCACGCACAGCCCACGCACCAGCCCCACCACAGCCCACGCACAGCCCACCTGGCACAGCCCACCACGCACAGCCCACCAACGCACACAGCCCACCACGCAAAGCCCACCACGCACAGCCCAGCACGCACAGCCCAGCACGCAGAGCCACCACGCACAGCCCACCACGCACAGGCCCACCACCCCACAGCCCACCACGCACAGCCCACCACGCACAGCCACCACGCACAGCCCACCCACGCACAGCCCACCACGCACAGCCCACCACGCACAGCCCACCACGCACAGCCCACCACGCACAGCCCACCACGCACAGCCCACCACGCACAGCCCACCACGCACAGCCCACCAACGCACAGCCCACCACGCACAGCCCACCACGCACAGCCCAGCACGCACAGCCAGCACGCACAGCCCACCACTGCACAGCCCAGCACGCACAGCCCACCACGCACAGCCCAGCACGCACAGCCCACCACGCACAGCCCACCACGCACAGCCCACCACGCACAGCCCACCACGCACAGCCACCACGCACAGCCCATACACGCACAGCCCAGCACGCACAGCCCAGCACGCACAGCCCAGCACGCACAGCCCAGCACGCACAGCCCAGCACGCACAGCCCAGCACGCACAGCCCAGCACGCACAGCCCACACGCACAGCCCAGCACGCACAGCCCAGCACGCACAGCCCAGCACGCACAGCCCAGCACGCACAGCCCAGCACGCACAGCCCACCACGCACAGCCCACCACGCACAGCCCACCACGCACAGCCCACGCACAGCCCACCACGCACAGCCCAGCACGCACAGCCCACCACGCACAGCCCACCACGCACAGCCCACCACGCACAGCCCACCACGCACAGCCCACCACGCACAGCCCACCACGCACAGCCCACCACGCACAGCCCACCACGCACAGCCCAGCACGCACAGCCCACCACGCACAGCCCAGCACGCACAGCCCACCACGCACAGCCCACCACGCACAGCCCACCACGCACAGCCCACCACGCACAGCCCACCACGCACAGCCCACCACGCACAGCCCACCACGCACAGCCCACCACGCACAGCCCACCACGCACAGCCCAGCACGCACAGCCCACCACGCACAGCCCACACGCACAGCCCACCACGCACAGCCCACCACGCACAGCCCACCACGCACAGCCCACCACGCACAGCCCACCACGCACAGCCCACCATGCACAGCCCACCACGCACAGCCCACCACGCACAGCCCACACGCACAGCCCACCACGCACAGCCCACCACGCACAGCCCAGCACGCACAGCCCACCACGCACAGCCCACCACGCACAGCCCACCACGCACAGCCCACCACGCACAGCCCACCACGCACAGCCCACCACGCACAGCCCACCACGCACAGCCCACCACGCACAGCCCACCACGCACAGCCCACCACGCACAGCCCACCACGCACAGCCCACCACGCACAGCCCACCACGCACAGCCCACCACGCACAGCCCAGCACGCACAGCCCAGCACGCACAGCCCACCACGCACAGCCCACCACGCACAGCCCACCACGCACAGCCCACCACGCACAGCCCACCACGCACAGCCCACCACGCACAGCCCACCACGCACAGCCCACCACGCACAGCCCACCACGCACAGCCCAGCACGCACAGCCCAGCACGCACAGCCCAGCACGCACAGCCCACCACGCACAGCCCACCACGCACAGCCCACCACGCACAGCCCACCACGCACAGCCCACACGCACAGCCCAGCACGCACAGCCCAGCACGCACAGCCCACCACGCACAGCCCACCACGCACAGCCCACCACGCACAGCCCACCACGCACAGCCCACCACGCACAGCCCAGCCGCACAGCCCAGCACGCACAGCCCACCACGCACAGCCCAGCACGCACAGCCCAGCACGCACAGCCCAGCACGCACAGCCCAGCACGCACAGCCCAGCACGCACAGCCCAGCACGCACAGCCCACCACGCACAGCCCACCACGCACAGCCCAGCACGCACAGCCCACCACGCACAGCCCACCACGCACAGCCCACACGCACAGCCCACCACGCACAGCCCACCACGCACAGCCCACCACGCACAGCCCACCACGCACAGCCCACCACGCACAGCCCACCACGCACAGCCCACCACGCACAGCCCACCACGCACAGCCCACCACGCACAGCCCAGCACGCACAGCCCAGCACGCACAGCCCAGCACGCACAGCCCACCACGCACAGCCCAGCACGCACAGCCCACCACGCACAGCCCACCACGCACAGCCCACCACGCACAGCCCACCACGCACAGCCCACCACGCACAGCCCACCACGCACAGCCCACCACGCACAGCCCACCACGCACAGCCCACCACGCACAGCCCACCACGCACAGCCCACACGCACAGCCCAGCCGCACAGCCCGCCAAACCCCACCACGCACAGCCCACCACGCACAGCCCACCACGCACAGCCCACCACGCACAGCCCACCACGCACTGCCCACCACGCACAGCCCACCACGCACAGCCCACAGCACACAGCCCACCACGCACAGCCCACCACGCACAGCCCACCACCACAGCCCACCACGCACAGCCCACCACGCACAGCCCACCACGCACAGCCCACCACGCACAGCCCAGCACGCACAGCCCAGCACGCCACCCACCACGCACAGCCCACCACGCACAGCCCAGCACGCACAGCCCCACCACGCACAGCCCACACGCACGCCCACCACGCACAGCCCACCACGCACAGCCCACACGCACAGCCCGCACGCACAGCTCACCACGCACAGCCCCACGCACAGCCCACCACGCACAGCCCACCACGCACAGCCCAGCACGCACAGCCCACCACGCACAGCCCACCACGCACAGCCCACCACGCACAGCCCACCACGCACAGCCCACACGCACAGCCCAGCACGCACAGCCCACCACGCACAGCCACCACGCACAGCCCACCACAGCACATCACCACGCACAGCCCACCACGCACAGCCCACCACGCACAGCCCACCACGCACAGCCCACCACACGCACAGCCCACCACGCACAGCCCACCACGCACAGCCCAGCACGCACAGCCACCACGCACAGCCCACCACGCACAGCCCACCACGCACGCCCACCCGCACAGCCCACCACGCACAGCCCACCACGCACAGCCCAGCACGCACAGCCCACCACGCACAGCCCACCACGCACAGCCCACCACGCACAGCCCCCACGCACACCCACCACGCACAGCCCCAGCCAGCCCACCACGCACAGCCCCCCACACAGCCCAGCACGCACAGCCCAGCACGCCACCCACCACGCACAGCCCGCACGCACAGCCCAGCACGCACAGCCAGCACGCACAGCCCAGCACGCACAGCCCACCACGCACACCCCAGCACGCACAGCCCAGCCGCACAGCCCGCACGCACAGCCCACCACGCACAGCCCACCACGCACACCCACCACGCACAGCCACACGCACGCCACCACCCACAGCCCCCACGCACAGCCCCACGCACAGCCCAGCACGCACACCCAGCACGCACAGCCCACCACGCACAGCCCACCACGCACAGCCCAGCACGCACAGCCCACCACGCACAGCCCACCACGCACAGCCCACCACGCACAGCCCACCACGCACAGCCCACCACGCACAGCCCAGCACGCACAGCCCAGCACGCACAGCCCAGCACGCACAGCCCACACGCACAGCCCACCACGCACAGCCCCCACGCACAGCCCACCACGCACAGCCCACCACGCACAGCCCACCACGCACAGCCCACCAGCACAGCCCACCACGCACAGCCAAAGCCCAAACCAACGTACTGTCAAGCCCTGGCGAGGTAGAGGAAGGGCACCCGCTCGCCGCTCTTCCAAGTGGCAGCTGCCACCGGATCATACTGCACCAGCTTCGCTGCCAGCGCCACCAACCCATCGCCTGCTCCTCCTCCTCCTGCGCCTCCTGCCCCGGCCCCTTTTTCCCCTGTTTTTTCTCTTGGCTTTCGTTTCCGTGCGTCCCTTAGCTTGCTTTAGGGCGTCAAAGGCGGATTTGCTTCCTCCGCTCCTGCGGCTGCGTCGACAGGTGGGCTCTGCCAGGTCACTGCTGGCACTGGTCCATGTCACTGTCCACGTCAGCACCGTCACTGGTGCTGCTGCTACTGGCGGATAATGCCGCACCCTTGCTGCCAACTACTGCCGCTGCTGTCACTGCTGCTGCGCTGCTGCTGCTTCTGCTGCTGGTCCTGCGACGAGTGCTCTTTTCTTCCCTCCCTCAGCTGCTAACTCAGCCGTGGGCCACAGCAGCAGCAGCAGGGTGCGTCAGTTGCTGCTTTTACTAGCTGTATCTGCTGCTTTAACTAGCTGTATCTGCTGCTTTCTTCCTTCCTCTGGCACCAGGTGGCGACTTCGGTGTGACGGCAGGAGTGGAAGCCCCTTTACCAGCCGCAGCAGCAGCAGCAGCGACAGCAGACGCAGAAGCTTTGGCAGCGGAAGCAGAAGCAGCAGCAGCAACGGTGGCGGCGGCAGCTGCAGCAGCGGATTCCTTCCCTTATCGCCTCCTTCAACCCCGATACTCCCCGTCTCATGCCTTGCCTTCTTTGCACCTTCTCCCACCTCCCTGTCCCTCCACCCACCGCCACAATCTCTTCTCTTTCACCTGCCCCTTCCTCTCTTCCTTTCCCCGCTCCCCGCGCCCCCTCCCCAACCTTCCTAAGCCGCTTCAACCGCCTTGCGCCAGCTCCGCCAGTCACTGCTTCCCCCTGCTCCTCCTCCTGCGCTTCCCCCCTCCGCCTTCCCTTCCCCCTACTGCTTCCGCGTCCGCCATCTCTTCCCCCCAAGCTTCCTCCGCCCACTGCCTCCTCAGCGCGGGTGTCTTCTTTCCCTGCAGGATGCCACTGCTCCATCCCCGTTTTTCAACAGCCCCTTTAGCATCTGTGTGGGTACTGGAGGAATCTGCTTGCTGCTGCTGCTGCTGACTCTAAAGGCTCTTTCTTCGTCAATGCCGTCTCCTTCAACTCCTCGCTTGCTTATCCACTGCACTGGGATTCGACCCTCGACCTCGGATTTACCTCCACCACCACCACCCCCAACAGCAGCAGCCTTCCCTTTGCACCGAAAAACGAGGAGATGGACCTCCTGGCCGCCCCCAGGTAAAGCCTTCCCCGCGGTTCCTGATTGGTCCTTGCCTCCAAAGAACGAGGCAATGGACCGTTGACCGCGGCCGTCAGCAGCAGCGGAAACGCCAGGCTTCTTGGCACCGCTGACCTCCCCGACCTGACTTCATCGTAGCTGGCAGCTGACTGCCGGTTAGGCCGTTTGTTGACGGCCTAGCTGGTGATTATCGACTGGTGAGTGGTGAGGCAGCTGGAGGCTTGCGAACTGAAGGGAGTCGGCGGACGGCTGGCAATCCCTGGAGAGGGTGCTGCGCGTGGAGAGCTGTGGCTCCTTCAGGTCGGATGAGACCCGAACGAGTTAACTGCGGACGACGGTCCGGCGGGGATGACAGCTGAGATATGCACGGCGTTGGCGCGCAACGTGGGAAGCCGGGTAAACTTACGCAGCAGCTGCGGAAGTTAAGCGCTAAGCTCATGGAGAACCACGCCCTGACGGCACGCCCGGAAAGTCCTGAGACCCCTGGGACCTCACGTTCGTGGGAAGGTAAGCGCTAAGCTCTTGGATAAACACGCCCTGACGGCGGATAACGACCCCTGAGAACACCTTGCAGCGCCTGAAGACAGACAAATCAAGGTGGACAGATCGGTTGAAGTAGGTTCACCAGTGATGCTACGATCCACCGCTGAGTTGCTTACTAACGTAGACTCATCCGCTGCTTGCTCTTGAGACGATTCATCAGTGATCTATTCACTAGCAAAATATACTGTTTGCGCAGCCTAATGCGTGCAGCTCTTCGAACGAACGAAAGCAATGTGCTTGGACGAGAGAACTGCAAGAGAACTGCGTCAGAGTCTCAGAATGCTGTTGAGAGTGGTAAGTCCAATGGTGAGGTGGATTGGGGAGGAATTGAGATAGAAGCAAGCACCTTGATTTCTCCGAGTTGAGTCTGTCTGACGCATTTAGTTTTCGCGCCAAAGCCCAAGGCGCGAACTCATCCTGTGCTACAGTAGGTTATGCTGTACCCTTCTGCTATTTCGATAGTAGCACACAGTAAAATATTACATCTCAGGTCCGTATAATTTTATGGAACTGTAGAACATTACAACAAATGCACAATTTGTAGTTCCAACACCGGATACACCTGCGGCTTGGGAGATTCCGTTCCATGCATATGGTGTGGGAGCAGTCAATAGAGACTGTCGCCGGCGAGCCGCATTGCCATGACTCTCGCTAGGCTACCGACGACGTTTGCTCTAGTTTGCTGAACAATGTGACCTCGCTTTCGCCGGTGACGCGGATCACAAATATCCCGCCAAATTTGTACCAGTGGATTAGATCGAACGAGAGTTTCTGACAATGCCGCGGTCAGTTGCCACGTCAGCTCCGCGCTTTCCCGCATTTCTCTCCCGCCCTCCCCTCCCGCTCATCATCGGCGCGCTTTTCGCGCTGCTGCTCCTAGGGTTGTTCCTCTCTTCGCCGCCCACGCCGTCGCTACCGACAAGCGTTCCCGCCCATGACAGGCTGGCGAACTTCCACCCTGTCAGCGAGGTAAATGGTGGGACCGCGTAGGGGAAAGAGTACACAAGGACAGTAAGATGAGCTCGCAACAACCCCATTGTTGATGGTGGTGGTGAACAACCATCAGGTTCAGGATGTGACTGGAGGTGGTGATGGTGATGGTGGTGACAACAGTCACACCCCACCACAACCATCACCGGATCCGCCAACCCATCACCACCACCCCAGTCACACTCACTCCCGCCTCTGAGCTCCCTCCAGGTCCAGGCCCATTCCCTCATTCCCGGGAGTTTTTGAGAATTCTCAAACACTCACTCCCGCCTCTGAGCTCCCTCCAGGTCCAGGCCCATTCCCTCATTCCCGGGAGTTTTTGAGAATTCTCAAACACTCACTCCCGCCTCTGAGCTCCCTCCAGGTCCAGGCCCATTCCCTCATTCCCCCCTTAGCACCCACCCCTGCTCTCTACAAACCGCATCCCTCCCCTGCTTCTCACTCCCACCACGGCCAATTCCCCTCCCTCCTGGTTCGGTGGGCTATCAACAGGTGCGGCGATGTGACAGAGAAGAAATCCGGCCCGCCCTCTCCCCCGTCCCCTCCCTTGCACCCGCCTTCTTCCCACGACTCACCTCATTCCAACCATTCCCACCGCTGCCCATTCCACCCGCCTTTCTTCTCTCTCCCCTCCAGGTGCGGTGGGCCATCATCGGGTGTGGCGATGTGACAGAGAAGAAGTCCGGCCCGGCGCTCGCCCTCATCCCGTCGTCTCGCCTCGTGGCTGTCATGCGCCGCAACGCCACCCTGGCTCAGGACTACGCCCAGCGCCACCACGTGCCCAGGTGGGGAATAGTAGGTGCTCTCTTGCACTCCTGTAGGTGGGTGCAGGTGGGGGTGGGGGTGGGCAGGTGGGCAGGTGGGCAGGTGGGGGTTGGCGCTCGCCCTCATCCCCTCGTCTCACCTCGTGGCTGTCATGCGCCGCAACGCCACCCTGGCTCAGGACTACGCGCAGCGCCACCAGTGCCAATGAACGTGCCAGGTGGGGGCGGGCAAGGGGTGGGCGGGCAAGAGGGGGGGTTGCAGCGCTCCAACCGATTTGGCAACGCTGCAGCGCCGCTTACTCTCGGTCGGCATTGCTCTGGCTGAATGGGGTTCATTTGTGCCTGGCCGCTTGCACATGGCAGGTGGTCAACGAACGCAGAGGAGACAATCAACGACGCCGATGTGAACGCTGTGTACATCGCCACTCCCCACCGATACCACA